AGAACAAGCGGGATTTGTCCCAGGAAAAGGAACAAGAGAACACATCCTTAATGTTAGACAGCTAATCGAAGAAACTCGTGAATTTGAATTACGAGCATACTCCTATGCTTATGTGCCTTGTGGATTACACAAAGGCCTTTGATAAAGTAGCGGAAATGGGAACACCCCACCACCTAATTCAACTTTTTAGAAGTCTATATAAAAATAATAAGTGCACAGTAAAAATAAACAACACTCATTCCGATCATTTCAAAACCGAGGCAGGTGTCAGGCAGGGATGCATAATCTCATCAACTCTATGTAAAATCTACAGCGAACACCAGTTTAAAAATTTTTAGATCTTCGTATCTATGAATATGAACATTATTTTCTGCAGTTGGGTGTTCTTTGTTTGTTTTTTGTTAGTTTTATATAATGAGTAAAGTTTACAGTACATAATAATATCATCGATAATATACTACATATTAAGTTGTAAGTTATAAACTATTAACATCTGTATTTCTTATAAACTCTATGTCAGCTATTGTATTTTAGAGAACTGATGAAGCTTTAGTAATATAAAGCGAAACGTCTTCGATAAACTTATGAAGTAGTTGACTTCTTTTTTTATTTGCTTAAACCTCTGAATTCACTAGTTGAATACTTTATATAATATATATATATATATATATATATATATATATATATATATATAACATTACAAATTTTTTTAAAATATAATTTAATATTAATTATTGATATAGAATATTATAAGCTGAGATACAGATTTCCCACTTTGTTTTTAATCACACGAATAATTATTGTAATCTCTTCGTTTTAAAGCTCGTGTTAATATTCTTAATTACGTATATATGGACTATTGCTTTAAAATCCATTTATCAGTAAACTGTTGCTGCAGAAATCCATTTACTTTTTCCCGTATCCCTTCGTTAGGACCGGAATTAATGGGAGTTTTATAAGAATTAACTCAAGAGTCTAGACATCGTAACTTTTGAGAAAATTGATGTCCTTAAAGCTATTACTGAATGCAACCATTATTTTAAATTATTGCGTAGTTTACATTTTCTAATAAACGTATCGAAGCAGCAAAATGAAAAAGGTTCAGCTGTGTTCTTACGTTAAAACCTTTTACTTTTTTATTGCAGCTATTTGTAATGTTATACAAGATTATCAGATGCACTAAGCGTATGTTGTTGAACTTGATGTAAAATATTACAGTTTAATTTTTGTTTAATTGTTAATATCAGTTTTATATTTATCTATCGTTGTAATCTGAAAATTATACAAACTAATTTGTTTTCGTATAAATATTATTGACTAAAATGAATTTCTTCTTCTTAAAGTGCCCTCTCCTCAATGGAGGTTGGCTACTACAATTTTAAACTCTTCTCTATCTTCAGCTGTTCTTATTAGCTGTTCAAAATTTAGCCCTGTCCATTGTCGGATGTTTCTGAGCCACGATAGTCTTTTTCTTTCTAGGCCTCTCTTTCCCTCGATTTTTCCTTTCACTATAAGTTGGGCATATTGGTACTTATTATTTCCCAGTATGTGGCCTAGGTATGATGTTTTTCTAACTTTTACTGTGTTAAAAAGTTCTTTCCTTGCCTATTCTATGCAGCACTTCTTCGTTTGAGGTATGCGATGTCCATGAAATTTTGAGTATTCTCCGGTAGATCCACATTTCAAAGGCCTCCAATTTATTTACGGTTGATGTTTTAAGGGTCCACGTTTCAACTGCATATAGAAGAGTCGACCAGACGTAGCATTTTAATAAACGTAGTCGAATTTCGAGTTTAATTCGAGAATCACAAAGCAGTTTTTTTATTTTCTAGGCTGCTATTGATCCAACATCCAAGGTACTTAAATCTATTGACCTGTTCTAATATGTGCCCATTTATTTTGCAAGGTTGAGGTACGTTTTGGTTTTTTCGGATTGACATCACTTTGGTTTTTTTAATGTTTTATTATTCGGAACATTTCTAAGGGGCGCAAAAGAGGAAGGTCTCGCGTTCTTACCGACACCCCAGAATTTAATAAAATAAAAGAAAGTAAGAAAGACAGTATGGAAAACAAGCACAAAAAGGAACTGCAAAAACACAAACAAGTAAAACGTAAGTTAAATATTGAAGAAACGTCGTCAGAGGAAAATCAAATTGATTTTGAGATTAGAAGTGACAGCAGTAATTGTAATAATAATTCTTTGTCAGATTTAGAAATTGATTCCATTTAATTTACTCCAGATGATCTTCAGAGAGGTGATTTCATTTTGGTGCACTTAAAAGGTAAAAATCATTCATGATATTTTGTAGCCGCAATATCAGGAAAGGTCGACGAAATAGAGTTCCAAATAAAATATTTAAAGAAAGCCCACTTCTTTGCACACTGCTATACATTTACGGTTGAAGATGAAAAGAAATATATAACTAACATCAGCGATATTATACAAAAACTTCCTCAACCACGTACAGTAGGTACAGAGTCTCGACAATCAAACACATTTATCTTTCCAATATCTTTTGATAAAATTAATTTAGGGTAGTCTGTGTATTATTAGTAGTTTATATTTTCAATAAAATTCGTGTCCAGACCTAGGAACAGATTGTTCCTAGGGACACGTACATACAAAAAAAGTGATAAAATGGGTAAAAATATATAAGTTGGAAAATTGGCATTTTCGAATTAGCTTTACAGAGGTATGATTAACTGTCCAGATTTTATTATTTTTAATATCTTCATTTGTCTAACTTATAAAAACCAAATTGTAAAAATTGTCCCTAGGTACACCATGTTCCCCTACTAAACAAATTTTCCAAACGTTTGGGAATATTGATTAAAATTACATTAATAATATATTAAAAGTTATCTTGTTTTTTCGTGTATCTTTTTAAATCGTGAACTTTACCTTAACATCTACCCACTTTTTCCAAAACAAATTTAAAAGTGTAATCCCAAAAAGTACTTACCCTCTAAAATGTCTTCTTTTAGTAACCCTCGAATGATAAACGGTTTCAATTAAAATGCAATGTAGGTAGGATCTTAAAAAACAGATTGTAATTTTTGTAACTTTCGATTATTTCAATCCTATTAATATTTCGCCGAATGCTGCGGCAAGATAAGCCCCAAAATTTGGGGTGATGTGACGTTGAAGGGGAGCGCTAGCTCCCTATTTTCTACAAAAATGTTCGCTTCCGGTCTGAATTCTTTTGTTAGAAAGTTTTTTGTAGTTTATTGTTTTTCGAATTTATTCAAAAATGTTTTTTAGCTTACATTTTTCAATTTACGAAATAATTACAATTTTATATTTTCAATACTAAAAAATTATTAAAAATATGTGATAAAATATAAATTTGATTAATACATTATTCTGAATATTTTATTCCATCGTAATATTTACAGATATTCTACCTACTACATCAAAATTGATAAGAAGCAAATAGAAAGCTAGGAAAAGTAAAGTAACAAGGTGATCATGCCTCATAGAAAGTTTTAAAATCACCTTTGAAAATGTTCTAAACCACTGAGACGCCAAATTAAAAGTTGTAATATACATAGAAGTTTTTTCAACCACTCAAAGTTTGCAAATGACATTGTTTTTATAAGCTTAAGGCTTCTTTCAGTCTTTTGTCGTTGTGGTGCGATCGTATTAATTAAGTTTGGTTGCATTTATACATCATTACATTTCTGCCATAGTCGTGCTGTAAATTGTTGTCTGGTATGCCTGATTGACCACAAGAAGGCTTTCGATGGAGTCAGGCATGAACAAATGATGGAACTGCTGAAGAGGACAGGGATTTATGGAAGACACTTAAAAATTATAGCTAATATGTATTGGAATCAATCAGCGGTACTCCGAATAGATGGAGAATATACAGATCAGGTCAAAATCTTAAGGAGAGTGAGACAGGGGTGCATAATTTCACCACTGATATTCAATCTGTACTCGGAGCACATTTTTGAAGAGGCCCTAAAAGATATTGATGAAGGCATCTTAATAAATGGAGTTAAGCTCAATAACCTGTGGTATGCAGATGATACAAAAGTGTTTTCCAATACCATAGAAGGGCTACAAAACTTAATGAACAGAATAACGGAAACAAGTAGAACATATGGACTGGATATAAACACCAGCAAAACTAAGCTAATGATCATCAGCAAGCAAAACATCTGCAACTGGAGCAAATCTGTATGTGAATCAAATGAGAAGTGAACGGGTCTCACAATACAATTACTTGGGAACTATAATCAATAAGTCGTGTGACTATACCCAAGAGATTAAATGTCGCATCGGAAAGGCCAGAAGTGCATTCTTGACTATGAACTCTGTGTTCAAAAGCGATGACCTCACCCTGAAAACAAAAATAAGGCTCCTTAAATGTTACGCAAACTCAGTGCTTCTGTATGGAGTAAAAACGTGGACATTGAAGCCGGAAACTCTATCAAAACTTCAGGCTTTTGAATTATGGTTTTACAGAAGAATCCTGAAAATACCATGGACAGACAAAGTCACCAATAAAGAAGTACTGCGGAAAATGAACACAACCGCGGATTTGGTCAACATTGTGAAGAGCCGTAAGCTGGAGTACTTAGGACATAAAATGAGAAATCAAGGCAGATACGAGCTACTTCAATGCATTTTGCAGGGCAAAATTAAAGGAAAAAGAGCCCCAGGACAAAGAAGAATATCCTGGCTTGCTAACCTGAGAGCATGGTATAGAAAGACCTCAACACAGCTATTTCGTATAGCAGCCAACAAAGTCATCATAGCCAGAATGATCGCCAACGTTCGGAATGGACAGGCACCCTAAGAAGAAGAAGACGAATGACGGATAAAAGAAACAGAGAGCGATTAATAGCTGGGATTATAGCACTGTTGCCAAAAATCTCGGTAAATAAAAAAATATTGGACTCATCCGCTTCTTGGATCATTTCAGGATATGCGAGAAGACAACATAATTGTTTTTAATTACTTTCAATTGTCAGCTTCGATGAATTATATAAGTATGAAGATACAGTGTGATTTACACAAACAGGACAACAATATGCGAAATGCGAAATTGCATAACACTACTCGAGATACTTACAGTTATACTGAGGTAAGTAGCAACATTCTAATAAACGCATATTATATTATTCTGAACTACGAGTAAAAATATTTAAAGAAGATCAAGAATTTTTAATTCGTTTATATGTAAAATATGTGTATATTGTTGAAACATCTTATTGTAACTTTAGATTAAATACAATTCTTTCATTTTCGCTTTCAATACAGTTGCATCTGTATCGAAAATCTTCGCATTTAATCACTTTACTCGAAAACTTGGAATTCATATCCGAAGGTACTATTCGTTGCAAGATAATTAGGATGGAATTCCCCAGATTTTTAATAATATAATGGGTATAAAGATGCCGGCTTTGGACACGTGCCTCGTGTGTTCAGTTTATATTCGAAACTTAACTTGAAAGGGTAAAGTTATTACGAACGAAAACATTTTTTTGTTTAGAACGTTTTTGATGCATGTAATTTACGGCTCATCGGTGTTTCCGCATCTACGGCAGTAATTAGCGTCTCGAATATTTCTTTTGCAAATTATATGCAGTGCGTGAGTGATTTTTTATTCCATATATCTACGAACATATACGTACCTTTCGCTCGTGCTCGTTTGGTTGGATTGTTTGTGATGGCTTCATCATCAACATCATAAAGTTGTACACCGGTACTGTTGCGTACAGTCAGTAAGTCTATTCACCAAGAGAGAAGACTATTGTCCTGAATGTTCACGATGCTATGGTTTCTCAGAATCCCACAAACACTGTTCGCAACATAGTCGAAAGTTGTGCCAACACGACTGGCGTAGGGGAGTCAACTATATATAGGTTAAAATCAGAAAAAAAAACACAATGTAGCTAAACCAAAAAAAAAACGAACACTTAAAGAGAGGGAAAAAGCCAATTGAAATTGATGGATTTGCCAAAAATAGTATTCGAAGGAAAATTCATGGATTTTTTTTCAATAACGAAATACAAAACCTAAACAAAATTTTACAAGAAGTTAGAGACGACTTGGATTGACCTCATATCGGACGAACTAAATTGTGGCAAGTTTTAAAAGAATTAAATTTCCAGTGGGAGAAATCAGACCGAAAATCAATTTTGATTGACCGGGAGGAGATAATATGTTGAAGAAGAAATTATCTACCAGAAGGAAGGCCAATCTTCTACCAGGATGAAACGTGATTAAATATAGGTCATACTCTAAAAAAAGTTGGTCAGATAAAAAGATATTAAGCTCCAGGCAAGCCTTTATGGAGGGTTGGTTTACTGGTATCTCCCCACCTTCTGGCAAAGGCAGTAGATTAATAATTTCTCACATTGGCGGTGAAAAAGGATTTGTTAAGCATGATTTTTTGGAATTTCAAGAGTATTTTGAGCAGATGATTGAACACATACCACCTAATTCAATTATAGTATAAGATAATGCAACCTTATCATTAACGACTAGAAGAAAGACTTCCAACGACTGCGTGGAAGAAACAGAATATTCTTGACTGGCTGCGGAATAAGTATCTGCCTTGCGAAGATGGAATGGTAAAAGCAGAACTTTTAAAAATTACCAGGCAACACAAATCTAAGTTCAAGAAATACGTGGTTGACAAAATGGCGGAAAGGCGAAACATCACAGTCCTTAGACTTCCACTCTACCACTACGAAATAAATCCAATTGAACTCATTTGGGCACAAATGAAAAGTTATGCGGCTAAAAAAAATACGTCATATAAGATAGAAGCTGTACGTGAATTGTTATACGAGTCTTTACAAAATATTACAGAACAACACTGGAAAGATGCAGTAAGACATGTAATAGAAGAAGAGCAAAAAATGTGGGATGTTGATAACATAAATGATGAAACCGTAGAGGCACAACCGCTATTTATTAACCCTCAAGATGACTCGGATTCCGAAAATGAACCTAATTATTTTGAATTTGAATAGTTTTCTAATCGTAATTATATAAGGTAAGTAATAGTAGTTGTAATCATAAGGCTTTAAAGGGGAAAGGCGCAAAATGACGCCTGTCAAAATGTTCAATGTGTTTTAAATGTATCCTTTTTTTTTCAAATCGTGAGAAAACTAAAAAACGTTTTTGAAAAATTTAAAGGCAGAAAAATTTATTAAAATAAATAAAACGTTTCTTTTGCATGCAATATTTTCAATTAAAAATTATACTATATTTTCTCTTTTATTTTCACCCCTGTTACATAACATATTAAAGAAGTTTTCAGGGACATTCTGGCCTCAGTAATAATGTAATCTTTCATTCTGCGTTTAAATTTTTTAAAAATATTTCTTAGTTTTCTTCGGATTCGAAAATAATGGATTCATTTAAAACACATTGAAAATTTTGCCAGGCGACATTTGTCGCCTTTCCTCTTAATTAATTAAATGTATCTTTTACAAATGGCAAGAAACTTTTTAATTTTGAATAAAATAAGAAGTTACAAAAATACAATTTACATAAGTACAATTTAAAAAATATATTTATTTAGTTCAAATAAATGTTTCAATCATATACTCTACGACACTGGTCGGTCCTCTGTAACCAAAATATCTTCGTAATCGGATTATAAGGTTGACTGCTGTATTGTATTCCTTCAGATACAAGGTGGGTTAGTCGAAAACATCTTAAACCGTCAGTTTCAGGCTGGTTTTTACTATTTTATCGTATTAGCTATCCTCTCGGTATTTCAGTTCTCTAATTAGGGTTAAACTTGTAGTGAGCTATCGACAAATTGTGAACCGATTGTAGTAGATTTCTTTTAGTATAATAATTTTGTATTACAATTGTATTAGGTATAACAATTCTTATTATTAGTCATGGGAACAAATTAAAAGAAGAATACATCACGAAATATACATCGTTAATCATTGCAAACGACCATATATTCGTAATATTCAAAATTGGGTAATATCCAACGTTTATAAATTAACTAGATGCTAATATTTAATTTGAATGTTATGCGTTTTAGAGTTATTGTTCTGTTTAGAATTGAATAATACCATACAATTTATTGAAATTGAAATATACTGCTCTGTATTGCCCTAATTTACTTACTGGTAATGACATACCAAATAGAACATGTATTGTGATTTACATCAATTCAAAGTTAATATGTATTTGGGGTTGTTCATATGTATTGATATTGTTTTTAATGGCTTATTATATATAATTTATAATTTAGTATTATGCAAACTTGGTTCATAAAATTTGCAAATTTATTAAAAAACTTTTCGGATTCTGCGAAACAAAATTTGTTTTAAATTAAATATTACAAAGTATATTTATTACATTGTTACACTTCTATATTAGAAGTGTAACTTTCAGTTTTCAGTAATAAAGTGAATAAAATAAAAGCAGCTTTAGCACAAAACCTTATTTGTAAAAATAACTTAAGACACAACTATGCATATACTATAAACAACCAAAAAATAAAATATGAACTATATATAATAAAAATGTTGTACAATGCCTACCTTGCCTAAAACACTGCATGTTTGTTTTTTATCTGAAAGCCATTCCCCGCAAACTAGACATCAAAAGTTTTTCTGCACGCTAGCTCTGGATGATGATCAAAAATAATTTATTCAGAAGAGTTTACAGTTGCATTGTGACGTAAAGAACAAGAAATGCATATATATATATATATATATATATATATATATATATATATATATATATATATATATATTCTTAGAAAGGGCTTTAGTGACTATGTGATTACTAAATACGGATATCTTGGGTTTAGTAGTCAATATTGGCCTTTAAGTAAAACTCTTTTAGGTTTGTAAGCTTTCGAGTTTATTGTACTCTTTTTCAAAACGTACTAAAAATTAACATAAAAAATTACATTAGAAAAATGAAGTTATTATATCTTCAATAGGCTTACCCTTGTAAGGATTGTGTTTTAAAATTAGCAAAATTAATTAACATAATGACATTAAATTTGATTTACTTTTTCGTTCTGTCAAAACTTATTACTAAGGTTTCCATGTCTCTTCTATTTTTTATATTTATTTTAGGTGAGTTTGACAGAGGAAGTGTCTATGTTTATGCAAACCTTCATTGCAAATTTTGATATAATATTACAGTTATTAAACAAGCAACAGAGTTTATGTTAAAATAAAAATAAATTTTATCTCATTTGAACTTGGAATAATACCTTTAATATGCGTAACTTTGAAGAACTTTTATATTGTTATTCTTTTATTTAAAAGAAGATTACTGTATATAGCACTAAGATTTTCAATGTCTTCTCTTTTGTTTAAGGTGTTTTGTGTAGTTTTAATTAAACACATTTCTAGAAACAGTCTTTTGTTGTAATTTCTTTCCTTTCTCAATATTTCTGTTTGATCATAGTTAGGCGTATGGCCCATTGTAATACAATGTTGACTTAATGCACAGGCTTGTACTTTATTCAGATTAATATCACTCTTATGAGATGTTAATCTTCCGGACAAATTTCTGGACGTTTATCCAATATATACTCTATTACAATTATTACAGGGTAGAGAGTACACTAAATAATAGAGAAAGCTCCAATGTAGTGTACTCTCTGCCCTGTAATAATTGTAATAGAGTATATATTGGAGAAACGTCCAGAAATTTGTCCGGAAGATTAACATCTCACAAGAGTGATATTAATCTGAATAAAGTACAAGCCTGTGCATTAAGTCAACATTGTATTACAATGGGCCATACGCCTAACTATGATCAAACAGAAATATTGAGAAGGGAAAGAAATTACAACAAAAGACTGTTTCTAGAAATGTGTTTAATTAAAACTACACAAAACACCTTAAACAAAAGGGAAGACATTGAAAATCTTAGTGCTATATACAGTAATTTTCTTTTAAATAAAAGAATAACAATACAAAAGTTCTTAAAAGTTACGCATATTAAAGGGATTATTCCAAGTTCAAATGAGATAAAATTTATTTTTATTTGTGTTTTTTCTTCTTAATTACTTAGTAACATAAACTCTGTTGCTTGTTTAATAACTGTAATATTATATTAAAATTTGGAATGAAGGTTTGCATAAACATAGACACTTCCTCTGTCAAACTCAAATAAAATAAATATAAAAAATCGAAGAGACATGGAAACCTTAGTAATAAGTTTTGACAGAACGAAAAAGTAAATCAAATTTAATGTCATTATGTTAATTAATTTTGCTAATTTTAAAACACAATCCTCACAAGGGTAAGCCTATTGAAGATATAATAACTTCATTTTTCTAATGTAATTTTTTATGTTAATTTTTAGTACGTTTTGAAAAAGAGTATAATAAACTCGAAAGCTTAACAGACCTAAAAGAGTTTTACTTAAAGGCCAATATTGTTTACTATTCCCAAGATATCCGTATTATATTGTTAACCGCACACAAATCCGTTTATCATTCCACTTTATTACAGTTGCCTTTCCTTTTTGAAATGCGATAACTTCATTTTTCATAAGTTTGTTCTTCATTTATGGTGATAGACCCTTTCTTTGCATTCTAATAGTACCGTACGCATCTGCGCAAACTGACAATAAAAGGTCAGTTAGTTCAGGGGATGTATAAAATTTGTCTGTAGTCAAACGTCATAACAATACTTATTGACACTGAAAGATCTTTATTTTGTTGGTCAAACTATGTATCCTTTCCTGTATAAACTACTTAATGCCAAATATATCCGAAGGAGGATTTACGGAGCATGTAGTTTTATAGCAAATCGTGCCCTTTTGTTTGGAATGTATTTGTACAACGCAAGATGACGAAAGTGTCACATTCATTAGTTTTAGTGTAGTAATTGATACAATTATTCAATTATAATCTGCAAATTGTCGAAAATACTGTCATTGCTGACAAGAATAAAACGTACGTGTTCACAACTATGTGAATTATTGCTTCCAAGAACTTCTTTTGGCGAGGCACTTTACGAAGAAACTTTTCATGAAGACTAGCATTGACGGAAACTTTTACCTCTTGAAACCAAACAAAATAGTATAAATCCCGTTAAAGCATACGAAGAAAGGCTTCCAATCACGGATGCGAAAAAAAGACCTCTTGTCACAATGTGAACAAAACTCAAGACAATGATAAAGATTAATTCAAAATTTAAAACTTTTAATTGACCATTATTTTCATGTCTGAGTCAAGTCAAGAGTCAAGTCAAGAGTCAAGTCAAGAGTCAAGTCAAGAGTCAAGTCAAGAGTCAAGTCAAGTCAAGAGTCAAGTCAAGAGTCAAGTCAAGAGTCAAGTCAAGAGTCAAGTCAAGAGTCAAGTCAAGAGTCAAGTCAAGAGTCAAGTCAAGAGTCAAGTCAAGAGTCAAGTCAAGAGTCAAGTCAAGAGTCAAGTCAAGAGTCAAGTCAAGAGTCAAGTCAAGAGTCAAGTCAAGAGTCAAGTCAAGAGTCAAGTCAAGAGTCAAGTCAAGAGTCAAGTCAAGAGTCAAGTCAAGAGTCAAGTCAAGAGTCAAGTCAAGAGTCAAGTCAAGAGTCAAGTCAAGAGTCAAGTCAAGAGTCAAGTCAAGAGTCAAGTCAAGAGTCAAGTTAAGAGTCAAGTCAAGAGTCAAGTCAAGAGAATCAAGTCATGACTGAGTTCTTGAGGTATCTACAGGACGTGAAGTTCCATAATTAATGTATTGTGATTATTTTTAACTTTTATGTTTTTTACGTTTGTAATTACATTAATTTTCTAGCAATACATACTTGCATAAAAATACTTTTAATAATTTCTTTAAACATAATTTTCCTATTTTATCCTACAACTTCAATTTTTAATTAAATGGTTTGTAATAAACTTTTCGAGAACAATAAAATTAGTTTAATTTTTCTCCTTTTCAATTATTAAGAATATGAATTTTGAAACATTGGACCAAAACAAATCGTTGATTAACACAAAAAGCAAAGTAACGAATGTGATTTTTTGGCAAGAGAAAAACGGTAAGCAGTTTATTTTTTTATCAATCTAACATAGATTAAAAACCAAATATAACAAATATAAAAAAAATTCCATTTGTCAAGGCACTGATTTAGGATTCGCTAAAAAAGGGTTATCATCCTCTCCTGAAAAGTACCACTGTTCACATTCGATAGTTAGAAATGGGAGGGACGATATATTGAATATGGAATCAAACTATTGAATATATATTACGAATTTAATGCTGTAGTAGTTACTACCGTTTACCAAAATAGTCTAGTCTAGTCTTTAGAACGATAGAGGAACCTTAACAATATATATTACCTCACGTTCACATGGGCATTATACATATTGATTGAAATTATAACCTTTGTGCGAAGTTTCCAATCGATTACCAATTTACGCAAATAGTATACTACGCTCTTGGAAGTTTCCAAAATTAGTTCGTCAAACATTATATCATGGCAAAGGTAACACCTCTGGATATTTAGTGTTCTCCTCTTTCCTACCAATTCCGAGTTCTGGGCATCTTAAATGTAAATCTCTCGACGTTCTCCGAACATTTCCTTTTCTTGTAATTTCACTGTGATAACTTTGTGTAGCATAGTCTACCTGCATTGCCCGCCAGCAACGGGACGGGCGTTGCCAATAGTTTCAAATAGTAAAGGATTATTTTTACAACAGAACTGTAAGTGCACAGTCTTCGGTGTATTATATTTTATATAAAATAAAATCTTAAGGCCGTTCCTCGCGATTCTGGGCATAGCTAAATTCCAATGTAAAAGTTTATATCAAATAACGCAAAAACTATGGCGGATATTGAGATGATCCTTTTTTTATATGAAAGGTCTTAAAAAGTACTAGTGCACTATTTGGTTGTAAATTAATAAATTGTTTAAACAATATTGTTTTTCAAATATTTTTGGTTAAAATAAACGTATTTTTTTTTTAAATAGGAAAGTACAGAATTTGACCCTCTTTCCGAATCTGTTTTTATATTTAACATAAAGTGTAACACAAAGGAGCTATTTGGTATAAACTTTTTAAAAAATCTCAAAGTTCTGCTAAATGTTACTCTCGGACAGTACACGCTATCCTTGTCGACAGTTTCTGGATTCTTGCCAATGGGTAGGTAAATCCGGGTCCAGACCAAGCAGACAAAACGAAAACACAATTCTGAAACAAAAACACGATAAACCGGCGACAAAATTTGTCGTCAAAAGACAAAACAAAATTGAGACAAACTGTCCACACCAGAACAACAAAATATAAAAACAAAATTCAGTTGGTGACGTTGTTGTTGTGATTAGTGTTGGTTAACCATGTGGCGTTTTAATCAAGAAAACAATGAAACTGAAGATTTATTGCTAGCCGCAAGTTGTTTTTTTTTGCTCTCATCATCATCCCAGGTTGCCAAACGAAAACCCAAACGTTTTTGGATTAGACCAAGCCTAAAAATGCGACATAACCAAACCATTTTGAACTGAAAAGTTTCCCAGCCCCAGATTTTTTAAGTTTCTTGTAGTTTCGTCTTTCTCTAGCATACTGGTTGTTAACATTCTTTATTTTCTTTTCAACATCATTTAGTGGCACATTTAGCGATAAAGAAATTTCCTTTAATGCATCGGCTTTCTTGTAGCGATTTTTATAATCTTTATTTTTAGGGTCCCATAATATCGGATGCTCCTTGTAAAGTTCTATTAACTTGCATGTATTTTGTGTATTCCACTTTTTGTCCCCCGACATGTTTAGAAAAATACACTAGTATTTATTTAATCACTACACAACAGAAAATACACTTGATTTTGATAAAAATTGTACATTCTATTTCTCCTACTGCTTAACTCGTTTTGGCACGCACACGCGTCCACACTGCGTCGACAACTTGTCGTCAAAAACACAGACAAAACACAGACCTTTTGATCTTTACCGACCTGAAACGGGACTTGAAAAAGTTTTCAAATCTGCAAACAAAACAAAATTGTTTCAGAAATGTCTCAACAAATGTTTTCGATTTGTCGCCACTTTGTCGCGAAACATGAATGTTTTTGTTTTGTCTGCTTGGTCTGGACCCGGCATAAGAAGTATATACCCCCTCGAGGGAGGTATTTCAATCAGAATTATTATTTTCTTTTCTTCTTTACATGAGCTCAGAGTAATACCCAAATATTTTGTAGTCTTTGAATATGTAATTTGATTATTTATATTTATTGGACAATGCCCATACATTTTGCAGTATTTGAATATAGAATTTAATTATTTATATTTATTGCAATATTTATTTTGAACGTTTTTGTTAGTAAAGTTTACATAATATATGAAGTTTGGTTCGTCACTTGCTTGTTCAGTCATATTAGTCCAGGATTTTCTCGTGACACTCAATAATCCAGGTAGCTGACAACTTTTTTATTTATTGTAGACCTATGAGAAGAAAACCTACCTGTTTCCTGCCTAAAGTTCGGAGGCGTTTTTTAATGAATAACAATTTAATGCAAAAAACGCACTTTTTTTTTTATTTTTTGACAAAAAAGCTTCATTTTTGTAAGTTCCCGTACAACTTACAAACTTACATTGATGTACAAATGCCGATTTTTGTAAGTTGAAATGTCAATTTGTTGCTTTGAATGTTGTTGCAATAAAAAAATTTGGCCTAGGTTAATTTGGGCCAAAGTTAGCCATGTTTTTTTGTTAATTTACAGCTAATTTGATTATAATAATTAAGGAATCTCATTAACGTCATGTCAAAGAATGGGATTTGTATTTTTTGTTAAAAAATTTGCACAAACATTGTACCTTTACAGGATCTTCTACGAATTTTCAAAAATATAGTTCAAATGGTGACTAAGAAGAACGTACAAATCCATGGAAATTAAATACTGAACAATTTCAAACTAATAAAATTTTCTATATCTCCGGAACTACTTAATGGATTTTGATCATTTTTTTGTAATTTGTATGTAATTTCTACGTACATTACAAATATGTAATTTATTTATATATTAATTAATTAATAAATAGTCTAGTTTGTTTAAACAATTCGTGAAAAAATCATTTTCTTCCAAAAACCTATTTTTGGTATAATTGGTACACATATTATTTATAAGACTATTTGCATGAAATTTTACTCTTGCTGCACATGCTCTAATATCTTTCAAGAGGCTGCGTTCTTTCATTGATATTGTATAATTTGTTCCTGATTATTTTCTGTGACAAAAATAATCTGTGCAATTTGAATAGTTTCCAAATACTTGAAGATGGCTATTAGATATATCATAACTTGGTATATCTGACTGTCCATGATATTCAGTTGCTTTTGTAACAACAGTTTTTAATCTTAATATGTTATTTTTAAAAGTTTTTGTCAGATAATTGGTACCAGTTTGCCATCGGAACAAGCAGCGAAGTTTTTTCGCTCTACTGAAAAGTAGTAGATTTTGACTTACGAGGTTTCGGTATTTAACCGTCTATATATCATCATCAATCATCATCATAAATAGCTCGACAATTCGTCTTGGCCTGCTCGAAAAGAAGTTGCCACTCCTGTTGATTCCTGGCAACTTCCCTCCATCTTCTGACCCTTAGAATCCGTAGGTCTTTTTCCACATTATCAATCCATCTTCTTCGTGATCGTTTTTTACTTCCTGTGCCCTCTGGCTTTAAAAATGTTAATCTCTTCATGTATTCTGACATCCTAGCAATGTGTCCAGCCCATCTAAGTCTCTGCATTGTAACGAAATTTCAAAATATCTGAATCGGTGTATACCTTATATAGTTCAAAGTTGTATCTTCGACGCCATACCCCATTTTTATTTACGGCCCCAAAAATCTTTCTAAGAATTTTTCTCTCAAAAATACCAAAAAGTCTTTTATTATTTTGAGATAAGATCCGCGTTTCAGCCCCATATATCAAAACCGGTCTTATTAAGTTCTTGTATATATCGAGCTTTACTGCACGTTTTATATTTTTATTTTTTTAAATGTTTCCGGAGAACGTGAACAGTTCTGTTTGATATTGCTTTGCGTCTTTTTACTTCGTCGCTTGTCCTGTTTGTTGCGTTTATTAGCGATCCAAGATATGTGAATCCTTCGATTTGCTCAAAGGTATGGTTGTTAATTTAAATTTTCTATTGGAAAACCAACATATATTTGGTTTTTTCCTCGTTTACTACAAGTCCTAAGTCACTTGCCACTTAGTTGGGTCAACTTAACTAACTTCGGTGGGATCCCAATCAAAGTCTATCATTGCATTATATAATGCAGTTCTTTTAACACTGTCATAGGCTGCTTTGAAGTCGATGAAGAGATAGTGTGTTTCTATGTTATATTCTAGTGACTTTTCTAGAATCTGCCCATGTGTTTGAATTTGATGTATAGTTTATTTTGCAGCAGTAAATCGGCATTGATATTGACCAACAATATCCATTGTAAAATGTTTAAGTCTTTTAAAAAATACATTGGCGAAGATGTTATACGCAGCTGCTAACAGAGTAATGCCTCTATGATTATTTCAATCCAGTTGATCACCCTTTTTATGCAACGCATATTAGTTCATTTAGCCACTCTTCTGGTATCAATTCATTCTGCCATTGTTGAATGGCAGAATGGAACAAAAAAGTTGATCACCACCTTTTTTATACATTTCCCAACAGACTTAATCGATCCCTGTAGCTTTATTGTCTTTGAGGTTTAGGATGGCATTTGACACTTCTATTATTGTTGTGTCTTCACTGTGTAGTTGACGATGTAGATTTTGTTGATTGTCTATGTTGTAACGTCCTTTAATATCGTGTATATTATATATTATATAATATGATATAATAATAATGTTCCTATACTATGATATAATCCCTCTAAAATGTCGTTCGACGTCCATTTTTAATTCAATTCGGTTGTTCCATTGCTCATTTAGTCCTTTCGAACTCATTGAGTTTCTTATTCCTTCCATCCGTGTTTTCTAAGGTAGTCCTCTCTTCTGGATTTCTGTAGGTGTTCATGCAGGTACTTGTTTCGGAAGTCTACTGTTTTTCATTCACTGCACATGTCCGTACCATTTGAGCTGCTTTCGTTGTATTCCATCCATGACTGTACCTACTATTCTCATACTTTATTGCATCCAGTTCGGCGACATATCTTTCTTCGATGTCTCTGTTAATCGTCTCATTTCGCAACCGTGTAAATAAAAGCATGCTTTTTACCACAGTTTCATGGGTTGTAGTGCTAGAGAGAGCATGTATGCTGAGCCAAAACGAAAAATAATCCTCCTTATTGCTTCTATTGAAATAAGCTTGACCGTTCAACTGGGCCCGGACTACCTCCTTCTAATTCTTTAAACTCCTGTTTTGAAATTAATAATACTCATTATTTTGTCTAATTACCTATTTAGTTGTCAAAACAGATACACTGTTACCTAAGTGAAAGTGGTTCAATTTAGAAATTATATCTTCTTTGTCAAACATTCTCCATCAACTCCTGAATGTAGGTCTTTCCCAATTGCTTCCATCTTTCTCTATCTTGCGCCAATCTAATCCACTGTTTGCCTGCCACTGCTCTTATATCATCTACCCATCTTTTTTGAGGTCTTCCCATGCTTCTTGTTGTCGTCCTTGGTCTCCATTCTAGAATTCTTCGTGTCCACCTGTTGTCATTATATCGGGCTACGTGACCTGCCCAGCGCCATTTCATTTTTGTAATTTCTTCCACAATATCCCTAATCTTCGTTCTACGTCTTATCTCGGTGTTAATTATATAAAAATTATATAGTAAATACCAAATATTGGAAAACTGATTCATATATTCCTCCAGCGATTTGGGCTTTAAGTACTAATTTTATAAATCGCACTACTAATAGACGTAAATCCTTGCATTTTAATTTCCTGAATGTTTTTATTCACCACATCTCAACATTCTCCATTTCAGAATATTTATCATTAAACTGTAATCTACGTTAAAAGCAATTTTATCAGTAAAAACACGGTGTGTTTACAGGGTCTACGTAAACATACCGTCTCAGGACTAGCAACTTCAGCGTGGAGTCATATGTCGCCATGTTACCTTATCCAACGGTAACTTTAACATCGTAACATATTATAAGAAATATAGTAAACTAAATGTAATTAATTATTTGTTAACGGGTTTTTACCCATATATTTAGTGGCTACATTCATGTACTCCTAGACACTGATGATGGAATATGGATTCCGAAAACGTTATGTCTAACTTAGACCGTTTGGGTCCTTAAATATATACCTTTTACAAAGGATTTTTAATAAATTTTTTGATATATTATAGTCCAAACTCAATAGGATTGTCAGGATATCTCTTTAAAATGATAGTCACTGAAGGGGCATGAAACAAGAGACGAGTGTAGTTCAATGGTGGCGTGTACATTTTTAAAATAATGAAAAAAGTGTGACGATAATATATTTTATCGTCTAGAGTTCGCCTATGTGTTAAACAAAACACGTTTTTGTTCCTTCTCGAATAGTATAAAAGTCGACACTGAAAGACAGCTAACCATTCTCGACGCGTTGAGTTGAGAATATCCGACCTTGGGGACAGGTGAGTTGAACGTGTCGCAAATCCTTTCCGAACCCAGTCGATCTGGCGCGCTGAGCGAGATTGACAATCCTTCCTTTGACCGCGTCAATCTGGTGCGTTGAACGAGATTGACGTATTATTTCCAACTAGTGTGTTGAACTAGATAGGCATCCTTATCCCCGTCCGAGTACTCGTTCTGCATTGAGGAACGAGTACGACCTCAATTCCTCGATCGCCATTATCTTAGTTTATCATATCGAATATCGTCACACCCATCTACCGAAATAAATATACATTACGTTCTTATATTTAAACATTATATTCAGTAAACACTTAACGTTAATTACCTTTTTTTGTATGTTAGTTCGAAATAAATGTCTATACGAACGAATCCTATTTCTCTGACTGAAATATACTACCCAACATCACAAAAGAAAAAAAAGACGAAATTAAAATACAAATACCAAAAGGGAATGCAACAGAAATAAATACTGAAGCCAAAGAAGAAATCATATCAACGATTAAAAACTGAGGGATTAGAGGGATTCTAACTCAGCCTTCTTCTTAACGTGCCTTAGCAAGCCTCTGGACGTTGGCGACCAACAAGGAAGGCTTTCCCTGTCTGGATAATTACGAATGTGTGTACTTAGATATAAAATAGAAATAGTGGTTGGACTGTAGTTTCAATTAAAATAGAAGAAATACACATTATAGTGTTTAAATTGTATAGTTTTTTATAATAATATCATTAAAATTTGTTAAAATAAATTTACTACCTTGGATAGAAAAACTAAAAACAGTATTTAATTTCTTGACGTTATATTTGTTTCATTAATTAATTTAAATGAAACAAACCTAAACCATAAAAGTCATTGTACATTTTTATTGCACTTTTCATCCAGAAACTTTCTACAAAAACGTAATAGATATAAAACAAAAAATAAGACTCACTGGCACATTGATAAATGGAAAACAACTGACAAATACAAAAATAATGAATAATCCATCAATAGTCAGTTCAGGAAAAGAGATAAAAGTTCTAACATTCTCCCTTAGGTAAATTATCGCAGCGAAAAAGTAAGGAAAAGACCCATCATCCTCAATTCTAATTTGTTAGGGAGTTTCAAAGACGAAGACACAGTTAATTTTACTCGAGGTTTCAAAAAGACTTGATTGAACCATTGACATACCGAAAACTTTAAAGCTACCCTCTTTGTAGAAAGTTTTAGTTCCGATAGGGAGGGTTCAAATAAAATCACAAGATTGGGACGAATCAGTTTGACATAAAAATATTGGAAAATGTTTTTTCTAATATTATTTTTAAATTATTTTTTTTTGATAGTTTAGATAAATGTGAGATTTTTATTTTAATGAATACAAAAGAGTTAAAAGATTATTAAGTACAATAGTTCAATGTACCGATAATACCAGATTTAGCAATTTTGTGATATTGAGAAAAATTCGATTTTTTTAAAATTTTTTTATTAAGGAATGCTTGCTTGCATTATGGTCTAGGTCTAGGAGATACAGTGTTAATATAGTTTTAATTTATAGATAAAAATATTATTTTGTAGAATTTTTTCTCAGTTATGGAGGTTGAACACCATCATAGCCGTTCTAACATTCGAAGTTATTGCTCTAAAGAGTTGTTTTGAGCTTTAACCATACCATTCTTTTAGATTCTTTCGTCAAATTATTCGTCTTCTTTCAACATCCTATCTGCCACTTATTCTGCCTTAGGCACGCGTATATCCCAGCTTCTAGGGACATGTGTGCTCCAATAGTACTGTGGAACCCACATGTACGAAGATCAAACCGGTCACACTCCGTAATGGGGTGGTACCTATCTGACTCTCAAGCTTTCCATTTCTTGCTCTTCATCGGATGAAGAAAACTTCTTCTGAAACTTTTTTCTAAAACGGAGGGACTTGCTTTGGATCAAGCTGTGTTCAGTTGGTTTTGTAAGGCTCCAAAAATAAACTTGCCAAAATCTAAGCTTATAATTTAAGTCAAAGATCTCGAAGTTGCGCAATGCCTAGGACTGATCGGCTTTAAGGCATCAAATGGTTGATTAGACAGATTTCCTCGTCGACACGATATTACTTTCAAGACAATATGTGACGAAGCCGCTTATGTTAATATTGAAACCGTGAAATCTTGTTCCCCAGCTACAACCTAGACATGTTTTGCATCACCTCCAGTGGGCTCAACAACACATAAAGCACATACAACACAAGAGCTGCACAATTAGTACATGCCCATTCCATACTTCCTTTCGCTGGTGGCAGCGTTATGTTTTAGGCAGGTTTTATGGCAGATGGACGCACGGCATTGATGGTTATTAACAGGACTAAAACTGGACAAAGTTAAATCACACGGATTTAACAAACTCATGTCAAATTATGGCGAAGAGCTAGGAGAGAAAATTTTGTATTTAGTGATGACAACGTTTGCCCACATAGAAATCAAGCGATCGATTAATGACTGTCTTGAGACAGAAGTTATTAGCCGTTTGGTGTGGCCTGCAGGATAATGAAATTAGATCTCGAACCCAGGCTTGCATCGATCCTTGTGGTGAACATACACAATATTAAAATTGTTAAATACATTTTATTTAGAAATAAACTTTTTAGTGTTTAGTTGTTTATTTATTAAAAAAGAAACAATATCTCTTTTAAGCATCTTCTATATTTTTAAATATATGTTAATATTTTATCAATGATCTATAATAGCAGTTTCTGAAAATAGGTAATAATAGCAAACATTTTGTTTTTGGGATCTAATTATTTAAAAATAGTAGCATCCTTTTTTGCAGAGTTGTTCTCCCTCCCTGTCTTATTTTTGTTTTTTTTTGAACCTATTCTTTCTTGTGTTTCTCACATCTGTGAAATATTCCACCCATAATCTACCGGCACTGAGCAACGGTACCTTTGAACATAGTGTATGGGTGTTCTAAGTTTACTTCTTACTAATTTAGTTCACAATGGATGGTACAAAGTTACTTGCAACATTTGTCGATGTACTTTTATTTTAAATGCCTTAAGACTCTTTAGGATGCTAACTTTTATTTCGACATTTCATCCATATACATAATTGTGGAATATATGAAGATCAAGTTTTTGAATATCTAGGATTAATAATTAAAGGAATTGGTTTGCAATATACCACGGTATTCCTTAAAGCTGCAGAAAAAATTAACACTGCTTAATAATTTTTATCATTTAAACAAAATAACCTTCCTAATGAATATCTAAAAATTAATGACTAATCACTGGTTCAAAATAATATCCAATAAACAAAACGCATTAGGGAATAAAAATGTGTCGACTTGCACATAAATAAAACTACTAAAGAAAGACCTTTCTACACGGAAAAACTTTCTTTTAGATTTGCTTGTTCTTTTCACGGCAGTAATCGGCAGGGTGTCGTGTAAAACATCTTTTCAAATAACGCCAATTTACTCGGGAGATTTTCAGTCGAATAAGTAGTTGGATGAATGGGTAGTTTGGAGTTTACTCAATTTTACTGAGGTCGGCTCTTTTCAAAGACTACGTACGTGTTTAAAATTACAATTTTTCTAATGAATGAGGTTCGCTTTGGTTGGAAAACCTTTTTATGTGAATAGTAACTTGATTTTTTACTATTCTTTATATTTCCGACTAGAGGTAGATTTGAAATCATTAGGAAAACCTTATTAATTTGAGTCGGGTTAACACTAAAAATTTATTCTAAATCTGCTATTTTACTCGCTAATTTTTATATACGTTTAAAAATGCTTAATTATTCATAATACTTATAAAAAGATTATTTGTAAAACTAACATCCTATAAGATTGTTTTTGACAACTAACTAAAAAATTCTTTTATTTCAAATCCTTTATAAAAGGTATATGTACACTGTGTGTCAGCCAAATGGAATAAATTAGCTAATAAATAAATGAGGGAGTATTCAAAAAAACGGTCCAACTGTCGGTTAGTATTTATAGTTGCGCATTTTATTCGATAACAACTTTTTATACTGGGTGTATCAGATAACGGTGGCCAATACCAACTTGCTTATTTTAAATAGAACACCCTGTATATTAATTAATTTTTAGATTCCTCAGATCATTTTAGACATTTTTTTAAACAATATCCTATACCTATCGTTGAATGTTTCGGAAATATTAAGTAAAATGCAAAAACTCACATTTAGAAAAGAAAATGATTTATTTGTCGAAAGTCGCTACAACATATGCTAAAACTTCTAAATAATACAAATCTAAACAATAATTACAATGTAGAAGATATTCAAAATACTCCCCATGAAGGTCTTGGCAATACCCTAACAGTGAATAGAAATTTCTTCTAACGCTACTCAACATCTCAGATGTGATAGATCTAATCGCAAGCGTTACTCGCCTTCGTTAGTCAGCTGGTTTAGTTCCTATGCTATAAGAACCACCTGATTCTATATTAAACGTATATATTCATACTTTCTTGTGCGATAAAAAGGAACACGATTTGAGGGTTGCGACATGGAATGTTCGAACATTGTACGGGCATGGAAGGTAAAGAAAGAAGAACAAGAACGAATCACTGGTTTGACGAAGAATGTCAAACTATAACAGAAAGAAAAAACAGAGCATATCTACAGACGCAACAGAGGCACAGAACCCGACAAGCAGAGGAAGAATATAAACAACTACGTAAAGAAGAAAAGAAAATTCACCGAAGAAAGAAGAGAGAATATATCAACAAAGAACTTCAAGAACTACAAGAACTAAGTAAACCAACAGAGACAAGAAAATTTTACCAGAAACTCAACAAAAGCAGAAAAGAGTTCAAACCGAGAACAACGAGGTGTAAAGATAAGGAGGGTAATATATTGACAGAACAGCAAGAGATATTTAGAAGATGGACAGAACATTTTAAGGAAAGGCTTGGGGTGAATAGGACGGAGATGAACCCTGATATACCATTAGACCAAGCAGACAACAGAGAAAAGAGTCCACCAACAATAGCAGAGATTAGAACAGCAGTGGACAAATTAAAGAACAATAAATCACCGGGATCGGATCAAATATCATCGGAGCTACTGAAAGAAGGAGGAGACGCATTACTTAAAGCCATACATGAGCTGATAAGAAAGATATGGTTGAATAAACAGCTACCAAAGGAATGGAATAGCGGCATTATTGTACCACTACATAAAAAAGGAAACCAGTTAGAATGTGAAAACTACCGTGGAATCACGCTGTTGAATGCGGCATACAGAATAATGTCCAACGTAATGTATGAAAGACTTAGACCGTACGCTGAAAAAATAGTTGGCAAATACCAATGTGGCTTCTGTAGACAGAAGTCAACAATAGACCAGATATTTGTTCTGCGACAGATCCTTGAAAAAATAAGTGAATATAACATCGACACACATCATCTCTTCATAGACTTCGAAAGCGCATATGACAATATAAACCGAGAATTATTAACAAAAGCAATGAAAGAATTTAATATACCAATACAGCTAATAGAATTGATAAAAGAAACACTAAAAGTAGAAAGTAAAATCCGGATACAAAACGAATTAACGGAAACAATAGATGTGAAGAAGGGACTACGCCAGGGAGACGCTCTATCATGCATATTATTCAACATCATACTTGAAAAAATAATAAGAGACACAACAGTTAATACCCGAGGAACAATAATTAATAAAAGCGTGCACGTACTAGCATTTGCAGATGATGTTGACATAATCGCAAGATCAAGAAGAGAAATGATAGAGGCATTCACTCAAATAGAACGAGCTGCAAAAAATATTGGTCTTAAAATCAATCAGACAAAAACAAAATATATACCTGCAAATAAAAACGCACAAATAAGGCAGCTGCCAAATCTAACAATAGGAGAATACAACATTGAGGCGGTAATAGTATATTACATAACGAGAGTTGTAAGAAGCTTATTACATGCGAGTAAAAAAGTTGCGCGCGAGCCGCGTAGCGGCGAGCGCAGTAATTTTACAAGCATGTAATAAGCTTACAACTCAAGTTGTGTACTATACTTTTTTTACCATTATTTTTGTTTATAAAAATAAAAATTAAATTACCACTATATTTACACTGACAGATTAATAATTTTTAACCTGTCAAAACAACGCCTATTAATTCGTTTCCATGGTAACTCGACCAACTGACGTACAAGGCTTATGTGATATTACACATTTTTATAGAACTGAAGCGTAATTTTTTTTATTACGTGCTAGTCATTACGTGTCAGTATCTGTTATAATGCATTTACTTAGCATCCAAATAGTAGGTAATATACAATTTACTAGTAAGAGAGTAGAAAAAAAACTTTACATACTTAGGATCCCTAGTTACGTCTGATAACAACGTTGCAGAGGAAGTGAAGAGGAGAATATTTATTGCCAATAAATGTTACCATGGCTTAATTAGGCAACTAAGATCAGATAACGTCTCCAGAAAAACAAAATGCCAAATATACAAAACCTTAATAAGACCGGTACTCACATACGGTTCAGAAACCTGGACACTCTCTAAAAGGGAGGAAACGTTATTAGCCACCTTTGAAAGAAAAATCTTGCGACACATATATAAGGGCACAAAAGAAAACGGGATTTGGCGGAGAAGGTATAACTTTGAACTATACAA